TTAGCTTCTTTGCTGACTGCTGCATTTCTAGCACCTGGCATTTTGGCAGGAAAATCAACATGAATGAATGAATGAATGAATGGATACTTGATATTTACCTGGGAAATATGTTTGGCAAATTGTGTGAGGATTTTTTTAAAATAGATCTTCTAATGTAATTTTTTTGGCCTAATATATAGAGAATTGTGACCAATTCTCAGTGCTAAATTTTATAAACACCTGTGGCTAAACATACTTGTCATGTACCAGACACTTCTAGTGCTTTCTGTGTCATCACCTCTCTTATGACAATCCTATGAGGTAGGTGTAGTACTATTATAATCCCCATTTAGTGAGCATAAAATGAGGCATAGAGAGCTTAAGTAATTTGCCCAGGGTCACACAGCTAATAGATGACAGAGTCAGGAGTTTAACCCAGGCAGTCTAGCTACAAAATCCATGCTCTTAACCGCAATGACGTACCACCTCTCTAGTGCCCCGCTGCGGAATGGATGCAGGGAACAGCGTTTTGAGACATTAACTGAGGCTCCCATCCTCCCACCCTGGTATCCTTTAACCTCTCTCCACCGTTCAACGTGGCATTCTGTCCTGCCTCAGAAGGGGAGGGCTGAGGCTGGCAATAGAGAATAAAATCAGATTTTTGGTTGTAAAGCAGGCCTTTAAAAGTCATAGCAGGGGCAAGGCACTTGTAAGCCAGGGCTCAGATTGCAAGAACTGGGCAAAAGAAAGAAAGATGTTTCTGCTGTAAACTCTGGGTTTGGAAGAGCATGTTGTCAGAAGGAGCGGCTACCTGCCCCAAAGGAGATAAAGGCTTGCCTTGCCGTCAGGAGGAGGAGGATGGGGAAGAGTGGGGAGAGCCCTGATGCTGCCGGGGTCCTGAGAAAGGGGTCCCGCCCTCTGTCCCTTCTCCGGGCTGAAACCCCAGCCCCGTCTCTCTTCGCTCCCCATGGCAGCCCCAGTTCCCAGGGCCGGGCCTGCCCACAGTAATAAATAAGTGACTGTGTATTAGGCCAGTATTGGAGCTTTACTCTCACCGTCTCATTAATCCTCACGGTGCGGCTGAGAGGTGGGTACAGTCATGGTGCCCACTTCACAAAGGTGGAGAGCCACCCAAGATCACCCAGCTGGTGGATGAAGGAGCACGACCTGGGCTCAGGTATATCTAAGCCCAGTGCCCATGGTCTACACCGGGGGTCAGCAAACTATGACCTGCTGCCTGTCCTTGTAAAGACTGTTATCGGATCACAGCCATGCCCACTCCTTTACTATTGTCTGTGGCTGCTTTTACTACAATTCCCAGTTAAGTAGTTGCCACAGAGACTGTGTGTGGCCAGCAAAGCCAAAAATATCGATCATCTGGCCCTCTACAGGGAAAGCTTGCTGACCTCGGGTCTAAATCACCAGACCACGCTGCCCTCACGCCCGCACCTCAGATCCTGGACTTTGGCGGTGTTCACAGATCCTCAGACTTGCAAAGCCCACCGTCAGAGTGTAGCGTCCCCATCTGTAGAATGGGTGAATAGTCCCTGCATCCAGGGTCGTTGTGAGGACATCATGATGAGTACTTCTTACACCTGGAGGCACATGAAAATTCTCTGGGGAGCTTTTAAGACAATACTGATGCTCGGTCTGACCCCAGACCAGTTAATTCAGAATTGCTCAAGGTGGGGTCCAGATATCTGTATATTCTAAAAGCTCCTCAGAGGATTCTTTTTTTTTTTCTCTTTTTTAACTTTCTATTTGGTTTTTCTCTTGGCTTTCCCCAATTCATTCCCCACACAACAGTTAGCAATTTCCTTTTCAAACATAACTTAGATCACATTGCTGTCTTGTTAAGGGGTCCATGACTTGTCATCACGTGCAATCCTACCCTGTGCTGTGTTCTATCAGGCCCCACTGGCCAGCTCTGCACCCCATTGTCCTATTCACAGTGCACCAGCCATGCTGGTCTCCTTCTCTCTCCTCAAGCACACCTGCCACAGGGCCTTTGCCTGTGCCTGGAATACCCTTACCCTGCTCTTCAGCCTTTTCTGGTCATTCAGGTTCCAGTGCAAACACCAGCAGCTCAGAGGGGTCTTCCCAGGCTGCTCTGTCTCCTCCTGCCTCTGCTTCCAGCGCTCTCGGCCCCATAACCCCTGTTTGCTTCAAATCGTGTATTGTGTTTGAGTGTACCTTGTTTCTGTTTCTAACCTTTTTAATGTAAGTGCCTTTGTTCGTGGCTGTTCCTGCCTCCTAGGACAATGCCTGGCCCAGATTTGGAGCTCAATTAATGTTTCTTGAATTAATTAATGAATAAATGACCTAATTTAATTCTCACACAAACTCCACAGTCCATTTCAGTGCTTCTCAACCACGACTGGTATTAGAATCTCTCAGGGAGCTTTAAAAAATTACTGATGCTCAAGCCCAAACCCGATGGATTCAGTTTCATTGGTCTGGGGTGGGGTGAGTCTGGGCATCTTTTTTTCTTTAACCCCCTAGGTGATCCTAATGTGTAGCCATTTAGGCTGAAATCCACACTTAAATCTGTGACTCCCTTGGCAGAAGGACGGCTGCCGGAGCAGAGCCCGTCAGTCAGAATTGCCACTTCACTCAAGCTCATACTTGCAGGAAGCCTGGTTACTCTCAGGCCCACTGGGGCCCTACCAGGGCTGGGCCAGTAAACTCTGGGGCACTTGAGGAAGGAAGTCGTGGCCTGAAGAACAGGCTCCTGGTTCCCTTTGTGACCTGAGCAGGACCCGCAGGCAGCTGGGTGTTCTAAAGAAATCCAGAGGCAGAAATGGAGTCCCTTCCTGGACACGCTGAGGCCACAGCAGCCTCAGCCACAGTGTTCTGAGTTCCAGGGAGCTGGAGGCCCAGGGGTGGCCCTGGGGAAGAATGAGTAGGAGGGGCCCTGCCCTGCCCTTGCTGAGAGGAGCTTGCCCATGGACAAAGCAGGGGGCTGGGGTCACATGGAGGGCCAGAAACAAAACACCCTGGGGCACTGGGTGTGGCATTGAAGGTTCCTGAACTCAGGCATATAGATTGGAATTTGATCGAGCATGTAGATTGGAATTTGAATCCCAGCTCTTTTTTTTTCTTTTACTGAGGTAGCATTGGTTTATAAAACTATATAAATTTCAGCTCTGAGTATCATACTTCAACTTCTGAATACATTACATCATGTTCCTCACCAAATGTCTGGTTGCCATCCATCAGCATAGACACGTGCCCCTTTACCCCTTTCACCTCCCCCCACCTTCCTTCCCCCGGTAGGCACCAAGCTGTTCTCTGTATCTCTGTGTTTGTTTGTTTGTTCTTATTATTTTATCTTTCTCATATGAGTGAAGTCATATTTGTCTTTCTCTGTCTGACTTGTTTCACTTCACATAATACCCTCAAGGTCCATCCATGTTGTCACAAATGGCAAGATTCCGTCTTTTTTGTGGCTGAGTAGTATTCCATTGTGTATATATGTACCACATCTTTATCCATTCATCATCAGTGGGCACTTTGGTTCTTTCCAAGTCTTGGCTATTGTGATAATGCTGTGGTGAACATGCGGGTGCAGATATCTTTTTGAATTAGTGTTTTCATGTTCTTTGGATAAATACCCAGAAGTGGACCAGCTCTGTCCCTAAGCAGCTGTGTGGCCTCGTGTGTGTCACTTATGCTTTCCGAGGCTCAGTTTCCTCACCTGTAAGATGGATACAACTCACAGGGCTGTTGAAAGAGTTAAAGGAGATGATTCGTGCCAAGTGAGCTGCTCAGCACCTGGAAGGCAGAAGCCCTGCCTGGCCTCACCCCCTAGTGATAGTCATCTACACAGCGTACACACACGTCAAATCATCACATTGTACACCGTAAATATATACAAGTTCATTTGTCCACAGACCTCAATAAAGCTGGAAAAAATAAAAATAAAGTGTGTTTAAAAAATATATTGAACATTAGAAAGTGATACATCCTGAGGAGGAACGTCAAGCAGGGAAGGGAGAGTGGGAAGTGTCAGGCGGGAGAGGCATCCGATCTTGGTTAGGGAGCTCGCTGAAGGCTCATTGAGCTGAGACCTGGGAGTGGCGAGGCAGTGACCCCTGTGGGAGGAGCGTCCTGGCAGAGAAACCAGCGAGTACAAAGGCATGAAGAGCACTGCCTGGAGTCAGCTAGCAGGGCCACGCGAGAGGCTTAAGATTCAGGAACTTCGCAAGCTGGCTGTTAAAACTTTGGTAGCTTGAGATTGGCCACGGTGAGAAGATTTAATCACAGATGCTGGTGAACACTATAAGTGGGGACACTTTTGCTGTTGTTCACAGAGAGCCAGTTTACCAGCAGCTCAGCTGCAGGCCAGAATTTCAAAGAACACGCAGCAGGGAGACCAGGGTGGTTAGAGCAGAGTGGGCAAGGGGGTGAGAGACGAGTAAGAGCCGTGCCATTGGGTGGGACCCTGCAACCGGCTCTCAGGACTTTGGTGTTGACTCTGAGTGAGATAGGGAGCCGTAGGAGGGTTCGTTAAAAAATAGCTTTATTTCGATATAATTTAACATCATAAAATCCACTCACTGTAAGTGTGCAGTAACTATTATTATTACTATTTAGTAAATTTACAAAGTTGTGCAGCCATGACCATAATCCAAATTTAGAACATTTCCTTCACCTCCAAGAGCTCCCTCGTGCCCATCTGCAGTCATCTCCCGTTCACGTGCACAACCCAAGGCAACCACCGATCTGCTGTCTGTCTCTGTACTAGAGGGCTTGGAGCAGAAAAGGGACAGGGTGGAACTTACATTATTGTCACGATTGCATCCTTCCTGTACAATATTATAAAGTTTCTGTTCCCTTTTCAGGTGAGATGGTGGCCTGAATTTTCAGGGAAAACCTCTACCAGGTCCAGGACACTCACCAGGCACTGGAGCTGGAATTTAATCTCCCAGCCACTGCGAGCTGTGAGCAAAGCTTGGCTCACTGGCTCAAAGTGTGCCGGCCAGTTGAAGCCAGTGTGTCCTCCGCTGGCTTCTGGCTCCGCCCACTCTTGGCTGCCTTTGGGGCCAAAGCTCCCTGTGGAGGCAGAGTCAGCAAATTGCCTTCCCCAGCAGGAACATTTACAGGCCTTAAGGCCTGTGTTCAGCTGCAGCAGAGCCTAGAAGTCGTCTGCGTTTCCTGGGTTCAAGAACAAGGTAATGCGGAGAGAAATCCTTCAGTGACATGTGTCAGCTGCTCCTGAGGCCCTTGCTGATTAAGCCAAGAAGGGGGCACGACTGAAATGGCCTTACTGGAGAAGAAGGCCTGGGGATTCTAATTATCAGCTGTGAAGGGGCCAGGGCATCCAGGGTGGGAGGTGGAGGAAAAGGCTGGGGCAGAATTCCAGAGAGGTGAGGAGTGGGGAAGGAGAGGCCAGGGGTGGGGGAGTCTGAGGCCACAGGCCCCAGAGCTGGTGGCCAAGCAGAGGCTGGGGCCTAGTGCTTTTTGGGAGGTGAGACCTGGAAGTCACTTGTCCTCTCCAAGCCTCACTTTCTTTATCTGTAAAGTGGGGAAAATAACACATCATAGAGTTGCTATAAGGATTTAAGGAAATAACGTTTATAAAGCACTTTCCAAATGTTTGGTATGTGTTAAGCTTTCCGTAAGTGGCAGTTATCATTGTTGTGATACATTCTTATTGTTGGTTATTGTGTTAGTCCGTTTGGGCGGCTGTAACAAAAGTACCATATACCAGGTGGTTTAAACATTTATTTCTCCCGGTTCTGGAGGCTGGGCAGTCCAGGATCCTGGTGCTACAGGCGGATTTGGTGTCTGCTGAGAGCCCACTTCCTGGTTCATAGACAGCTGTCTTTTCATCGTATCCTCACCAGGCAGAAGCAGCAAGGCAGCTCTCTGGGGTCCCCTTTATAAGGGCTCCACGCTCAGGACCTAGTCACCTCCCAAAGGCCCCACCTTCTGATGTCATCACATTGGGGGTTAGGAGTTCACACATGAATTTTGGGGGAACACAAACATTGAGTCTCTGGCAGTTATCATTATCATTTCTGCTGTTATTATTATTACCAAGAGGAACTTGGCGGAAGGAAACTGAACCTGGGGTTGCAGCCCCTAGGCCTCTGCTTCTCAAACTTTAATGTGCACACAGCGCCCTGGGGTTCCTGTTGCAGCTCAGAGTCTAATTCCACACACGTCTGGGGTGGGGTCTGAGGTTCTGCAGGTGATGCTGGTCCATAGACCACACTTTCAGTGGCGAGACCCTAAAACTGCACCATCCAATGCAATAGCCACTAGCCACTTGTAGCTGTTGAGCACTTGAAACATGGCTAGTCCAAACTGAAGTGTGCTTGTGAGTATAAAGTGTGCTTGTAAGTGTAAAACTGAAAGTGAAAATAGGATTTTCAGGACTAAGTACAAAAAAAAAGAATGTAAAAAATATCTCTTCAACAGTTTCTTTTTATATTGATTACGCATTAAAATTATAGTCTTCATCTTCATATAATCTTGGGAAATGGGCTTTGAGTCACTGACCTCAGACCCACAGAGATCCACAGGCAGTGAGAGATGGAAGGATGGACCTCAGGCTCAGAGAGGAGAAATGACCAAAATCCCACACAGAACTAAGACTCCAGCCCAAGACTCTGTTCTACGAGTCAATATGTACTATAGTCTCCATCAGGGCTGACCACAGGCTTCTCTCCCACCTCAGTTTCTCCCCAGAGCCCAGAATTCAGGACCATGTGCTCTCTCCTCTCTTTGGTGACAGGCAGGAGGCAACGACATGAGGCTGTGGCTAAGAGGCCTGGTCCTCCAGGCTCTGAGGAGCACCCGGGGAGTCTGTGGTTCTTGTGGGCAGCCACCACCTCTGCCTGTCCCTCAGAAGATTGTAGCCACCTGGGAAGCCATCAACCTGGGGAGGCAGCCAGTGCCTGAGTACTTCAACTTTGCCCGTGACGTGCTGGACGTGTGGACTCAGCTGGAAAAGGTGAAGCCCACAGTGTCCTAGTGTCCATCTTGGGCATTGGAGGCTGCCCTGGGTACCCCAAAGAGACTCAAGGCTCCAAGTCACATTGATCTGGACATTTTGACCCAGGAATTTTACAAGTCGTAAAATTGAAACTGTTAGCATTTAAGCCTTAGAAAAAAATTATGACCAAGTTATGCGAGCCTTAGACACCCTTGCCCAATCCCTCATGTACCTCATATTCCTGAGCCCAAATCACACAGTGAGATAGTTGCATCCCTTTTGATTCATTTCCCATCATTCTGATCAAGTGAAGAAGAAAGTTCTTACTGCTGCTACTCTATCCTTAATCTCTCTCTCATTGTCATGCACTTCCCTTTTAAATAAGGAGAGAGCTCAGCTCTGGCTCAAAGCTTTTCATAATTCACAGCAGGTACATATGTAGAATTGAACTAAGTTTATCTTGATCTCATTGTGTCTCTGTACATATGCTTCCTTCTTTATTTCTCCTTCCTTATATATCTGTTATGTCTCTCTCTCTATTATATAGTCACCTTTTACTTATGTTAAAGATGCTAACTTTTTTTATAGTAGGGGAATATAAACTGTATTTCAAAGGTATTTATTTATGCTAATTTTAAAGAAAAAATATGGGGCGGGCCACGTGCCCGAGAGGTTAAGTTCATGCACTCCACTTCGGTGGCCCAGGGTTTCTCTGGTTCAGATCCTGGGCGCGGACATGGCACCGCTCATCAGGTCATGTTGAGGTGGCGTCCCAAATAGCACAACCAGAAGCACTCACAACTAGAATATACAACTATGTACTGGGGGGCGGGGTGCTCTGGGGAGAAGAAGAAGAAAAGCAAAAGATTGGCAACAGATGTTAGCTCAGGTGCCAATCTTTAGGGAAAAAAATTTGCCTAAAAAAAAGAAAAACTATGAAATGAGTAATACTGTTAGTAAATATAGTGTCAGTGGATATGGTAAAATTTATGAAGGTGGGTGAGAATGACTGAGACATAAAAGCAGGCTTTGCAGTCAGGTAGACACGGTTCGTCCACTTGAAGTGTGACCTTGGACAAATGCCCTAAGTTCTTTGGATCTCAGTTCTCTCGTCTATAAAATGTGAGTCTTACCTATGATGCTTGGAGTTGTCATGAGAATTAACTGAGGCGTGTGTGTAAGAGATGGAGCCAGGGTGCTCCATGCCTGCATACAAAGTCTAAGCTCTTTTCACCACACCAGGATCATCCTTAGAGGACCTCCTCTAATGGTAAAATCAAACAAACAGAGTTAAGTCAGCAAAAATGAAGGAATAAGGACTTTCTAAAATTTTCTCCACTTTAAAAGCAAGAACAACCAGAAGAACAAAAATCTTGGGAAAATTGTCAGAATCAACTTTTCAGAACTCTGGAAACTAACCAGAGGCTGGAGTAACTCAGGGAGTGTTTATTAAAGATTTGAGTGAATCTCAGTAAAAATGCCCCTGAGATACTATCTCCTATAACCCAAAATAGCAAATACCATTACCAAAAATAACGTAGTCTTCGTGACTATTTTGACAAAAGTTTAAAGCGCATCTGATGAAGTTCAACTTTCAGGAACCAAGAACTGCCAGAAAACAGTTAGCCTCTACATTATGCATACATTTAGAAGTTTACCTGAAATCTGCCTTTCATTCATAGTATGGATAAGTTGAACTTTACTTTTTAAAAACTTGATTGCCATTAAAGCAGAAATTGTAAGGTTGCAAAAAAAAAAAAGAACACTACATCTCAAATTGATCTGTATACTCAATGTAGTCTTTATCAAAATCCCAGTAGACTTCTTTGCAGAAATAGAAAATCTTGTCCAAAAATTCATACAGAAATGCAAGGGACCCATAATAACCAAAACAATCTTGAAATGGAAACACAAAACTGGGGGACTCACATTTCTCTATTTTAAAACCTACTAGAAAGTTACAATAATCAAGACTGTGCGGGGGGGAAAGTTACAGTGTGGCACTGGCACGAAGGTAGACATAGATAAATGGGATACAATTAAGAGTCCAGAAATAAACCCATAAATCTGTGGTCAACTGATTTTCAACAAAGGTGACAAGAAAATTCAATGGGGAAAGAGTTGTCTTTCCAACTAGTGGTGCTGGGACACCCGGATAGTCACATGCAAAGAATGAATCTGGTCCCCCAACTCAGACAACAGAAAAAAAATTAACTCAAAAATGGGTCAAAGACCTAATGAAGGAGTAAAAACTATGAAATTCTTAGAAGAAAACATAGGTGTATCCTGGATTAGGCAATGGTTTCTAAAGTACAAGCAACAAAAGAAAAAATAGACAAATTGGACTTCATGAAAATTAATGACATTTGTATACCAAAGTGAAAAGTTAGCCCACAGAATGGGAGAAAATATTTGCAAATCACGTATCTGATGAGGACGTACTATCCACAATATATAAAGAACGCAAACTCAACAATAAGAAGACAACTCAATTAAAATATGAGCTAAGGATTTGGATAGATGTTTCTCTAAAGAATATAAACAAATGGTCAGTAGACACATGGACAATACTCACCATCTTTATTCATTAGGGAAATGCAATCTCAGCGATAATGCACATAGAGATTGCACGTAGAGGATCATGGCTAATACCAAAATCAAAAACAAAAAGAAAAGTACAATAAAAAGTGCTAATAAAGATGTAGAGAAATTGGAACCCTCAGACGTTGCTGGTGGGAATGTAAAATGGTGCAGGTGCTGTGGAAAAGTTTGGCAATTCCTCAAAAAGTTACGCATAGAGTTGTCATATGATCCAGCAATTACACTCTTAGGTATATATCCAAGGGAATAGAAACATATGTCCACACAAAAACTTGTACACGTATGTTCGTGGCAACATTATTCATAACAGCCAAGAAGTGAAAGCAATCCTGACGTCCATCAACTGATGAAGAGACAAATAAAACGATGGTACCATCCATACAGTGGAATACGATTCAGTCATTAAAAGTAATGTAGCACTGATGCATGCTACAACATAGATAAACCTTGAAAACCTTATGCTAGGTGAAAGAAATCAGACACAAAAGGCCACATACTGTCTGATTCCATTCATTTGAAAGATCCAGAATCAGCAAATCCATAGAGACAGAAAGGCTTAGTGGTTGCCAGGGGCTGAGAAAGGAGAGAATAGAGTCTGTACAGTATTTCTTTTTAGGGTAATGAAGATGTTTGGGAATTAGATAGTGGTGATCGTTACACAACTTTGTGAATATACTAGAAACACTTGAATTGTGCACTTTAAAATGGTGAAGTTTATGGTGTGAGAATTATGTCTCATAAAAAAGGGGAAGGACACGGAACATTGTAAATTGTACGCTACTTTTGCATTAAAAATGTGGTATGGAAAAAAATACCTATGTCTGCCTAAAGAAGCACTGGAAGGATATGCAAGAAACTGATAATATTGGTGATTCATTGAGGCTGGTGAAGTGGGAACAGGGTAGAGAGGGACAGGATGAGGACGAGACTTCTCAATGCATAGCTGTTTGTATTGTTTTCATTTTTGAATCCCGTGACTGTGATAACTATAGTAAAAATAAAATAAAATAAATAATAACAACAAGCAAACAAAAGTCCTCAACAAATGTCTTCTATTTTTTTCTGCCTACACTGCTGTCTAGGCTGGGCACCGGCCCCCGAACCCTGCTTTCTGGTGGGTCGATGGCTTGGGAGCAGAGGTCAAGTGGAGCTTTGAGGAGCTGGGGGTGCAGTCCAGAAAGGCGGCTAACGTGCTAGGGGGCGTGTGCGGTCTGCAGCCTGGGGACAGAATGATGCTGGTGCTCCCGCGGCTCCCAGAATGGTGGCTGGTCAGCGTGGCTTGTATGCGCACAGGTCAGTGGGCAAAGCTGAGATTTCCATCTGGGGCCGACACTCCCTGCCGGGGCTTTGCAGTGTTCACAAGGTTTGGGAGATGAAGCAAAATATACCCTATGTGGAGTTTTGTTTACTTTCACTCTGCCCAACAGTCACAAACTTGATTGTATACAGGGGCCAGACAGCAATATAATTGACTAAAGCAGGCAAGCGTGAGGCAGTAGGGAGCACTGAGGACTGAGGTGAGCTGGAGATCACATACCTCATCAAACGGGGAACTGCTTCTCAACTCCAACCAAATGTTTCCATGTGTCAATGAGGACCAGTGTTTCCAGATATTCAAATTTTGTAACAGAAGACTCTGGATGTTTATGAAAAAACTTCCAGTCGTCTAATGTTGACAACTAAATATTTATTCAAAAACTTCTGAGTGGGACAAACCAAGCATATTTTCTGCTGGTTGTGGTTTGGGAGCCGCCAGTGTGTGGATAGTAATACAGTTATGGATGAGAGACCTATACAAGCAATCTATACAAGTTTCGCTCTAGACTTCATGGCTCTCAACACTGGAGCATCTTCCAGCTCCCAAGGGAAGGAAGAGAAGGACAAAATAATCAAAGCAATGAGATTATCCCTGAGGTTCCTCTTCCTGCTGTCACGAATGTCCAGGACAGAGGACCGTTGGTCTTCTTGGCATGGTTCTTCCAGCAGAGGAGCAGAGGATGCAAAAGGATACAGCACGTAGAGCCCAGAGAGCCTCTGCTGACCCCGTCCAATGAACTTATTGAAAGGGCTGAGTTTATATGCTGATTTTACAAAAGCAAGACAACTACTTTTGGTGGAGAGCTGGTTTCTCCATCCTCTGGGAAGTTTCCACCACTTGGAATGTTGTCCACCCACTTCCAATCACGTCCATAGAACAATCTCCCTAAAATACAGATTTTACAAATAAGGCTTGCAAAACAGGAAGATACAAACTCACACCAGAGAAGTAGCCTTTGTATATGAATGAGCTTTATTCAACCATTTTGTGAATGGATTGTCTAAAAAGCAAAGAGGCAGGAACTCTAATTTTAGTTTTACATGTTTTTGCACAATACACAAAAGTGAGCACCATCATGGTGTATCTAGCTCGAGGAAAAGAAATAGGCACACAGATTGGGGAGCTCTCCATATTCTTCCATGACATTTGAGGTCCATTTAAATGAGGGCCATTTAAAGGGTTTCCCAAATAAGGAAACCTCTGCAGTTTCTTGAGGACCTACTATGTGCCAGGCACTGTGTTGGGCACTTTGCACGATCAGAACTCCCCTTTGGGACATTATTATCGTTACTTTTCCTGTTGCCTAAACATCTCCAGTTCTCCTAATTATACAGATTTACCATTTCTTTGCTGTCCAAACAAAATAACTCAAGACCACGTCCCACACTGCCATGTCAAGTCTAGCATCTTCCCATTTAGAGAGTACTCAAGCTGGATGTCCTTGTGTTCTCACATTCCCACACTCTCCTAAGATGCACTTGTCACTTTCCTTCAAGTCTGTGATGTTGGACTCATTTCTCTTGCTGATAGCTCCAGCTGTCTACCATCTGCCTGGGCCCCCAAAGCACCACAGACACCTCCAGGTGGAACAGACTTCTGGAAATAGCTAAAACAGAGAGATGGAGTGAAAAAACACACCATTCACCTCCAAAAGTGTTCACGCTGGGGTTTAAACCCTGTAGAAGTTTAGGAGATAGAGTGAAGGGCAATGAGAACTTTGGTTTGGTCCCACACTATTTGGGATTGGCCCTTCCTCTGTCTTCTGTCCTCACTCATTGGCTGTGGCAGGATGACTCATTCTTTCAGGATGTCGTTCTTCTTGTCTGTGAAATGGGAGTGCTGGACTCAATGGAGTGTTTACAACCTGCATTCTGAGATACTCAAGTGGTTTTTTCAAGCGTTTAATTAAAGTTTTCCCCTGCTTTCTGCTTCCTCATCCCCTATCCTTGGGGAGAGAGGAACTCAGCTGCCCTCAGAGTGGTTTTGGTTGAAATTATGTGGGGTCCTGGAGCCCCCACCTGCTACACCTACCCACCTGCCCCAAGCATCCCACACCCAACACTGGGATCCATTGTGGTCTTTTGTTTGAAAGGCATGGAAAACCCCTGGGCTAGGTAATCTCTAAGACAATACAACACAATGCTCCGGATCATGGACTCTCAGGTTTACTGCTGCCTGGGTTCACAATTCCAGCTCTACAACACATTAGCTGGGTGATCTTGGGCCAGTTATTTCACTTAATTAAGGCATAAAGGCCTAAGTTTTAGTTTTTTTAAATCTGCAAAATGGGTATAATAATAGCATTTGCTCTCCAGGCTTGTGAGAATTAAATGAAATAATGCATGCAAAGTTCTTAGCACATGTACATGCTCCATAAATACATTCTGGATTTCATTACTATCAGTATTGCTACTTTTTCCAGTTCAGGCATTCCAACCCTGTCCAGCCCCTTCCTGCTCCTGTGTCTTATGGGAACATCCAGTCTGGACCTCTTCACAGAGTCCTCCCCCTGCTGCCCCAGTCAACATCCCCTGTCTGTGTGGTTTCAGGGGCCGTCATGATTCCAGGTGTCTCTCAGCTGACGGAGAAGGACCTCAAGTATCGGCTGCAGGCTTCCAGGGGCCAAGTCCATTATCACCAGTGACTCCCTGGCTCCGAGGATAGACGCCATTAGCGCCGACTGCCCCTCCCTCCAGACCAAGCTGCTGGTGTCAGACAGCAGTCGGCCAGGCTGGATGAACTTTAGGGAGCTTTTCCGGTAAGTTGGGGTTCTCCAGAGGACAGCATGAAAATGAGACCCAGGAATCTCTCCTTTAAGCAAGAGGAGATGGAATGCATTGGTGATTGCACACGAGGAGAGGGCATCAGAAAGGAACGCTCACTTTGGAAGCAAGACAAACCCGAGACCTAATCCTGGTGACCACCTTAAGATCCTTCAGTCACTTAGTCAATACTGGAACTGTCACCAGCTTTCTGTGCTTCATGTGCCTCTATAACGATGAGAGTGGTTACAAAGCCATTAGCTGGAGTAAATGAGTAATCTGCGTGATGCATTCGGTACATAGTAGGTGGTCAGTTAGTAATATAATAATTGAGCGCTTAGTGTCTGCTAGGCATTGTGCTAGGTAAGCGTTCACCTACATTCATTCATGGGACAAAGATAATAGATGCACATCTGTTTTGCAACAAGCATAGTGTTTTGGTGCTCAGAACACAATAATGAATCAGACGTCATCTTATTTAATCCTTGAAAAATGCTCTGTGAAGCGGACTTTAACCCGATTGTACAGATGAGGAAACTGAGACTTGGCAAAGTAGCGACCTGCTCAAGATGCTGACAAGTAGTCAAGTCAAGGTTGGGGCAGAACCAAAGCCATTAGCCTTTGAGCAAGACCCTGGTGCAAACCTCGGTGGGAGTTTGAGACTTTGTCCTGATGGAGGGAGAACCAAAAAGGGGTCCTCTCCGGGGCCTGCAAAGATAAGGCACAAACGCCCACCCCACACACCAGCTGCTTCAGATTCACCCGGGGGCTGTTCTTTTATTTTTTTTTGACTAATATCAACATTTGTCTCTTGTCCCTAGCTTTATTTAAGAAAGAACTATGGGTCACATTCATTTAAAAGTGTTATAATTTTTAGGATTATAAGACCCACAGGCACGCATTGTAAATAATATATCCTGTATTTTCCAAAATATTATATTTCCAGCATATGGTATTTTTCTACACTACATTTTCATTATGTTATATTTCAATATAATGATTAGTAGCCAACACTTAAACAGAAAATATTCAACATGTTTAAGTAGTAAAGTTAAGCACAAAAGACGTATTTAAAAGTTTGAGGATATGGTAAGTACTTTTTAGATTGTTCTTTCCTACACTAGAATATAAACTTTCTACCCTAAAATTATGGGAATTTATTTGTTCATTTTGGGATGCTGCTTTAAAGACAGATTCCAAGGCCCCACATCTGATCTACTTAACCAGACATATCTGAGCAAGGGCCCCAGGAAACTGTATTTTAAGAGATCTGCCCAGGTAATTTTGATGAGCTGTGGGGTTGGTCCAGATCAGTGGTTCTCCATTGTGGCTGTCATTAGAATTACCTGAGGAGGCTTTTAAAAAAATACCAACGCCAGGCCCACCTTCAAAGATTCTGATTTCATTTTCTCCGGGGTGCTGCCCAGGCAATGGCACTTCTTTTAAAAACTTACTAGGTGATCCTAAGCTCAGCCGGGGTCGAGAACCAGTGAGTTAGAAGATTCTCCAGATCACAGAACTTTAGGAATCACCCAGAATTCTAAACTTCAAACTTAGGGAAGCCTTTAGAAAACAGCCCTAAGTCACCAGGAATTGAGGTGGGGGTGGGGCTGGGCTCAAACGTGCAGAAGTGTGGCCGTGGATCTGTGTGTGTTCCACCAGAAAGTCCTCATGCCACGGTGAAAGAGCCCAGGCTCCTTTGAGTGAGCCTTTTAGCCATTTTGAGCCTCAATTTCTTTATCTGCAGAGGGTTATGGTGAGAGTTCCCACCCTGTGGGGCGACTGTAGGGGTCAGAGATAATGCAAGCTGGAGCTCCCAGTACAGTGCCTCACGCTTGGTGATTATTGAGACAATAGACAAGTAGTGTTGTTATAGATATCGTTTCAAGGACTGGTTTTTTACTATTGGTAGTTCCACCCCAGTATTTTTGTATTTTACAGGGAGGCATCCACAGAGCATGACTGCGTGAGGACCAAAGCTCAAGACCCACTGGCCATCTACTTCACAAGTGGCACTACCGGGGCCCCCAAGATGGTGGAGCACTCCCCAGGCCAGCTATGGTCTGGGTTTCGTGGCCAGTGGAAGGTACGGCGGACAGCTTGTCTGACGGGTCCAAGGAACCGAAAGGAGGCGAGTGAGCTGGAGGGGTGTGAGTGAGGGGGAAAGGGGCAGGAGTTGAGGTCAGAGAGCTAAAAGGGGTCAGAGCAGGTAGGATATAAAGGCTTTGGGCTTTACTCTGAGAGAGGTGAGAAACCATCGGAGGGTTTTCTTTTTTTCAATGTGGTAAAATAGACACAACATAAAATTTACCCTTTTAAACATTTTTAAGTGTAGAGTTCAGTGGCGTTAAGTACACTCACGTGGTTGTGCCATCATCTCCACCATCCGTCTCCAGAACTTTTTCCTCTAGCAAATCAGAAACTGTACCCCATACACAATAATTCCCCATTCTCTCCTCCCCCGAGGCCCTGGCAACCACCATTCTATTTTCTGTCTCTCGGAATTTGACTCCTCTGGGAGCCTCGTATAAGTGGAATCATACAATATTTTTCCTTTTGTGTCTGGCTGATTTCACCTACGCGTAATGTGTTCAAGTTTTATCCATGTTGTAGCATGTATCAGAATTTATGTTTTAAAGGCTAAAATAGTATCCCAGTGCATGTATATACCTAATTTTGTTTATCCATTCATCCATTTGATGGACACTTGAGCTGCTGCCACTTTATGGCCTATTGTGAATAGTCCTACTACTAATACAGGTGTACAAATATCTGTACAAAACCTTGCTTTTAATTCTTTTGGGAATATGCACTGAAGTGGAATTGCTGGATCATATGGTGATTCTATGTTTACTTTTTTGAGGAACATTGGAGTATTCTGAACAGAAGAGAGACATGATCTGATTTGTTTTTTTGTTATTTGTTTTTTTAAGATTTTATTTTTTCCTTTTTCTCCCCAAAGCCCCCCGGTACATGGTTGCATATTCTCCGCTGTGGGTTCATTTATTTTTTTAAAGGATCACTCAAGATATTGAGAATAAACTGTAGGGGGCAAGGAATGAGGCAGAGGACCAATTAAGAGGCCAGTGCATTCAGAGGTAAGGGTGGAGGCTTGCCCAGTGGAGTAGCAGTGTGAAGGAATGACAGGAGGCGAGATTCTGAACGTATTTTGAATGTGGGCCTAATAAGATTTCCTGACAGATTTGATGTGAGGTGAGACAGAAAAAGAAGAGTCAAGGATGACACCGAGTTTGATGACCTGGACAACCAGAAGCGTTAACTGAAGGGGGAAGACTGTGGGATGAGCTGTCTGGCGGGAGGAAATGGAGGAGATTGTTTCTGGCATTGAGGTGCTTATTGGACATCTCTATTCCCCGAGTTAAAAGTGGAGATGTTGACTAGGCAGTTGGGTGTTTGTGTCTAGAGTTAATGAGAAAGATTCATGCTGGAGTTATCAGCATAAAGATGGTATTTAATGCCAGGAGATTGGGTGAGATCAGCAAAGAGTAATAAATATGGAAAAGAAAAGAGATCTCAGAACTGAAGGCTTGAGGCATTTCCACAATGAAGAGGGGAAGCGAGGAGAACTCAGCAGAGGAGACTGAGAAGGAGCAGCCAATGAGTCAAATGAGGGCCAGGAGAGCGTGCGACCCAGAATCCAAGCGTAGAACATGACAATGTCTCTGTCTTCCATGCTTGCAGGCACTGTTTGCCATCCGAAGATCTTCTTCTTTCTCTGCCTCACCTTTGTAATTCCTACGTATTGTTTACGTCTAGCTCAGGTGTCAACTCCTCTATGGGAGTGTTTCTCAGACCCCACATCCGTCCTTTCTCTGGGTTAGGTGCCCATTGTCTGTAATTGCATAAGGCTCTGTGTTTAATTCAATTAAAGCATACTCTCCAGGGGCTTCCTAGATCTTTATACTTACTAAACCATAAGCCCCTCAAAGCAAGACTCATCATTCATTTCTACATCCCTAATGCTAAGTTCAGAAATAAATGTTGGCTGAATAAAGTGCCCTTGTCACATGGTATTGAAATTATTTGTTCCCTTACATATCACTCCCACTGAACTGCAAGCTCTTGAAAGCATGGGATCTGTCCTTTTAATTCTGTATCCTCAGCCCAGGGCATAGGTGCATAGGAGATGCTCATAAATGCTTGTTGAGACAAAGGTTGACTTTATGGTACTTGTACAGATTTGACAAGCGTACGTGAGTACCCACTGTGGGCAGGGCTCCAAATAAGGTAATATAGATAATGTAATCCTTTTTAAAGGTATAAGCATTGCTGAAGGTCCTGACTTTCTCTGATTTTTGGCAGGCAGTGGGTGGCCTTGACCGAATCAGACATCTTCTGGAACACGACTGACACTGCTTGGGTGAAGGCAGCCTGGACCCTCTTCTCCGCCTGGCCTAATGGATCTTGCATTTTTGTGCATGAACTTCCCCGAGTTGATGCCAAGGTTATCCTGAAGGTAAGAGCCAAAAACAGCTCTTACGTGCCGTGTGTAAATGAGATGAGTGGAATATAGGTTTTGAGTTTGTGGGAGAAAGGGCTCAAATAAGGGGCCAGTTCACCTGCTCCATCTCCATGAAGTCCAACCCCAGAATTTTCAGAAGATCTTCTACTCTTTGTTTTTCTTTAGACTCTCTCCAGGCTCCCAATCACCACCCTCTGCTGTGTCCCCACCCTCTTCCGGCTGCTTGTTCAAGAGGATCTGACCAGGTACAGCCCATTTGTTTAGTGTTTTGGGGGCCTAAGTATACGAATAGACAGCAGAATATATACACATGCACACCCACCCTCTCATTCTAACTGTCTCTCTCTCTGTCTCTCTTTGTATGTCTTTCTCTCTCACACACTCAAGCATACACACCGATATCCTTGGCAGACAGCCCTCAACAGTGAACTTCTGGCCCCTAGGAATTTGCATCCAGGTGGAACTGAATAGATATGAGACAGTCTGAAATTTCAGCGCTTGAGGTGGGCTGTCCTCCTGCCATACGTCCATAGGCCATTGCCTTAACAATGTCTACTACTTCTAGAAGATGTAGAGAAATTGTTGGATAATTGTTGGCCACATGTAGAATGGAATTTGTGACCAACGCCTTAGGTCTGGTGGGGCTAGCAAGCTCACCACAGTAGATGTTCCGTCTCTCAGCCCCAGACTAACTCCAGCCAGCCATTCTCTGAGTGAATGCCACTGAACACTCAACAGAAGGGGACAAGACACTGTGGATGGCTTCCATTCTGGGTGAATCCAAAGGAACATCTTCTGGCAGGACAAGTGTAGTTGCTGGCGTATGTGGAGAGAGACCTGACACCCTTGAGAATCCTACCTGGTAGGATGGACCCTGGTCTATGACTCCTTCTTCTGTCCTCTCCCAAGTCTTGGGGAGTTGTCCCTGCCCTCCCCTCATCTTCCCTAATCCCATGTATCTGGCCAAGAAGTGTCTAAGAGAGTGTGTTCTTACAGGATTGTCTCAAGGTGAATTTTTCTATAATATGAGAATTTATCCATTCACTGATCTGTTGTGTGTATCTCCACATCATGACTTTGAACAAAAGCAGACTCTGAATGATTTGTTCAAGAACCATTTGGTTGAAAGATACTCAGTAATATGAAGTAACAGTCAAACCTATTTGATCTTAAGAGAAAAATTGTTGACAATGTATTTGCAATCTCTGATTTTTCACATTTTGGATCATTTGTTGAACAGAGGGGTGGTTTGACAACATATGTAATATCTGTAGGAATTTTAAGCCCATTTGTCAGAATTTTTGGGTTTCAAGAGGGCTACTTTCTATCTTTTAAATTTTTAATTGATTTATCTTTTTCAACCAGGTGGTTGTCCCAACCAATTTATTATCAATCAATTTGTTTCCAACTAGATTATTTTGGCCAATTCACCTGGAATTCAGCACATTATGCCAAAACCTACTACATGAGGTTCTGATTTAGTTCTAAACTCAGGACTGATTTTAATAAAATTGCCTGTCCATGAGGAACACGCCTGCAAGCCAGAGGATGGGGCTCTTGGAGCAGATCATAGAACCCAGGAGTTTACTCTCTAGTGCCTCTCGGTATCTGGACCTGGGCAGCAGTGCTGGAGGGCGAGGTGGGGAGGGGGATCCTGACATAGATGGCCTTGTGTTCTTGGCGGAGAAAGGTACCAGTTCCAAAGCCTGAGGCATTGTTTGACTGGAGGAGAGGCCCTGAATCCTGATGTGAGGGAGAAATGGAAGAGCCAGACGGGCCTGGAGCTGCATGAAGGTTACGGCCAGTCTGAGACAGTGAGTTCTACTGGGGCTGGGGTCCCTGTCCCAAGGTCACCTCCACCCAAGCTCTCAGCCAGCCAGTGGCAGAGCCTCCTGCCTTTCTAGCTGTCCTCTCTGTGACACCTGTCAGGAACTGCCCTGCCTGCAGGGAGGAAACTGATAACAAATCTCCATC